TGGTTCTATCTTTACTGAAATGGCTTAATTTAATTCGTTATCCCTCAAAAGATGGGGATAGACACCAAAATTATTCTGATACCATGAGTAGTTACTGAGATATTGACGAAAACTGGATTTTCAGTAATGGCCACCTTAATTTGCATATTGTGCGAATTGCCCAAGGATGACAGAGTGGCATCATTCAGATTCTGAAAGAGCACACCTCAGAGATATAGAAACAACAAAAAAACTTTGTATGGACCGCATTGCAAGGTTCTTCAAAAATCGGGGGTTTGGCAACCGGACTATAAGCAGATCGCGGCCTGGCAGCAAAAGCGTTAACGCTGTTACAGTTAGAACTGACCATTGGAGATTTTCACTATAACATGGAAATAGAAACCAATACAAAAGCTTGGTTGCCCGAAGCTACATCAAGTCAACATCTCATTTTATCTTTCTCGGAGTATTAAGGGGTGATATATTTCGGCACTCATGATGAGAGTGAGTCTCATCAAGGAGCTTCGATCTCAGTGAGCCCTCACTGGTCGCGGTTGCTTTTATTTAGTAATTTTAGACTCCTCTGTAGCTGCTCATTTTAGGATACTGGCGTATGACGTGAAACACAATGTATCAGTAACCTTCCCATTGCGCCTTCAAAGCCAAGGTCAAGGAGGGCAAAAGCTCAAAGCCACGGCACGAACCCAGAAAATAGCGTTTATTGCAACTGCCTTTTTACTGTTACTTAGAAAAAAAAAATCACCATTCTGTTTATATTTGTATAAAGCGGTGCCAGGGTCCATTCCAATTTACAGCGAGCCGCAAGCAAGTGATTATTGAGCGGCTGCATCGTGTCAGGACTGGCCATGGTCCAACCACTTTTGAATTTGCCGCCTTCGCCCCTCCGGACTAGACCTGGAGTCCCCGTATTGTTATTGTTCGAACCAATATGGCGGCTCTTCTGGATAGGTAGAGGTAGTGACACACAACATGAACTGGATCGCCTGAAACGGCGAACTCCGGAGAATACGACCACGATGGCGGACACCAGACGGCGTGTGAAGCTCTACGCCCTGAATGAAGATCGACAATGGGACGACAGGGGCACGGGACATGTGTCATCGTCGTATGTGGAGCGCTTGAAGGGGATGTCCTTGTTGGTGCGAGCCGAGTCGGATGGTAATAATCGCTGCTTTGCCTTTGGCGCTCTTGTTTCGAGCTTGCAGATTTTTTCCCGAAGTTTTGCAAAAACATGTAGAAAATTTTCTATTTCTCCTCGATCAATATAGTAAAGTTCACTGCGATTATAACCAATCTCCCAGGTGCGCAGACTTCTAGAGTCCAAGCGCTAGACGGCCAGATCTTCGCATGCATCTGATCAGACAAGTATAAAGAAGAAGGAGCAAGCCTGACCGGCATCAGCTAGACTGTGTTTACGAATCGAAATCAGTCCATCACTAACGCACGTTTCTTTTCTTCCCTGTGTGCAGGGTCTCTACTTCTGGAGTCTAAAATTCAACCGGACACAGCCTATCAGAAACAACAGGTAAATGCCTCCCATGTGTGATACAATATAACGGCTGCACACGTTGTCTCATGTACCTGCAGACGCCGTGGGCTGGATTTTCACATGTCCCGCAAAAACAGATGTTTACACAGATTTTAAAGCTTATTTGCGGCTAACTTTTTGCATTATTTGTAAAATAGGACAAAATGTAGGGAAGATGCGAAATGTAGAGGTGAAGGGGAAATTCTGTCTTCACAAAATCACACAACTGAAATTATGCTTGCAAATCTCAGCCTGTCACACGTTTTGCTGATACCGAGCCTACATACCTGTGAATTGCATAATTATTATTGAGGGCAGTATTCAACAATGAACAGATTACATATACATGCTGACATATTGGAATGTGAATGCTAATGAATTAGACATAAAATAATATGTAGAGATGGGGATAGAATGATGTTTTAGTGCTGACTTTTGTACTACCGGAGTCCTTTTTTCCCCAAGCAGCATTGTCTGTCATGGTGAATATGTGTCTACAATGGAATTGATTGCAACTAAATTATGTGTGCCAGGAAAACAACATGTGACTTGTTAGCTAGGCTAAGCAGGAAGATTTTGCCCAAGGCCTTGAAAGTGCAATGGTCAAACCACCATGACGATGTCTGTGCACCATAGATGTGTCATTATGGCTGGGAGATTAACTAGTAAATGAATGCAGTTACAACATCAACTGTGAAGTATCATATCAGGGAAAGAACATTGTTATTTATTATACTAGCTATGCTTACCATTCCATCCAAGACAGATGCTGCCCCCCCCCCCCATGTTTAGAATTTAGGCAAACCAGAAGTAATGGAAAGGAATTAATGTCTTTGTGTAGTAAACTAGTAGTATTTATTAGTACTTTATATATAAATGTCAAAGGGCAAACATCGAGCTGGGGAAAAGGTGTCATATCAGATATGGAAAGGAAGAGGAGATACTTAGGTATTTTGTAATCTCTTTGAGGTCATTTAGCATCAAAATTCCAATCCCTTCAACTTGCACATTACAAACCATTTCAAATATTCAACCCTATTAACAGCAATAATAGCCTGATCATTATCGTTCCCCCAGCCTTAAGTTCTGTTTGTTAATGTTTATTATGTAACATCCTGTGTTGCAGGAGACTCTGATCGTCTGGTCAGAAGCTGACAACGTTGACCTTGCACTCAGCTTCCAAGAAAAGGCGGGATGTGATGAGATATGGGAGAAGATATGCCAGGTAGGACATCGTAGAACTAGTAATGTGTCATCAAAACTAAAGGAGAATTGGGGTTTTAGTTGTACTTTTCTGCGTAAGTTGTTACTGTTAGTGTAACAGTGTTTAGGAAGAGTATTTGTATGGTTTCATAGACATACTGATTTACATCTGTACCCACATTATGTGTATTTTACATTTGTACTAGGTGAAGCAAGGCAGACTAAATGCCTGGAGGAAAGTTATTGTAAATTGTATCTCTAAACATTGAAGTCTACTCCTCTCCTGGCTGTTGCTTTCTAATACAGTAATAGTTATATTATCACTTTCACAGTCACAAGACTCATATGCTCAAGTTCATATACAGTTCTCCTACAGTAATTCATGTACTGTGGAGCTATTTTACCCTGTTGAATTTTGAATATTGTGTAGATAATGATACACTGTAGAGATTGTAGAGACATGTGGCATCTTTGCACTGCTTTGCTGGTTCTGAATAGGTTAATTACACTACTATAGTATTATTGAGTTGGTGTGGCAGATGTTTTATCAGCAATTAGCTTGTTTCTGTAGATATGCTAAAGATTTTACAGCATTGACTCGATGATTGAGACTTTTTAGTTATGCCTAGTGCAAAGATTGAATAAGAAGATTGAATTTTGAGCTTAACAGGAAAATCTTTCCAGATGCATTTGATCTATTATGAAAGTATCAATGACCTGAGAGTAAACAGGTATTTTGTTTATTTCCACAGTAAAGGAATAATGCATTTTACATCAGGAATTTTGACAATAGACAAACAAATATATTTTTCAACTGTGACGTCAGTGACTCCCAATGACTCTAGCATTACACAAGGTTTGGAAGTTGTGTTGTCCCGTACAAATTAGATTTCTAATGTACAAGTTAATTTGTAGCTGAACATGTCCCCAGATAGAGTGGTCACATCCCAGGATACAAGACTTCCCACTAGTAATCTTGTATGTGACCACTGTGGTGTTAGTGTTGATAAGGTCAAGTACAAACAGTTGCACTTGACTTGTGCACTGCCTTCACTGTCACAATACTGCAGTCATTCCATCAAGCAGACCACAACATGGCCTGATTATAAACAGATGTAGCATTTCACTTGGTATTCAACAGCCATTAATGAAGTTCTTTAGAATTAACATCCATGGTTTTAGCAGACGAGTCTCTCACTTGTCCCAATTTTGTAATTTCAAAATTTGTAAATAGCAATACAGTACAAATAAATCTTTGCTGGTTGTCTTTCAGTCTTGTGTTATTAAGTTTTAGAATAAACATTTGAATATATAAAAGACTAATGTAATAGTCATGTTGAGACTTGCATGTATTTAAGAACTGTATAGAATTATGTTTCATGTTATGTTCAGATTGTTGTACTAAAATGGTTACTAGTATATTTATTGAAACATGCTGGCTAAAGTGGTTTTGTTGCTTAGGTGCAATGGTGGTGTTTTCTATTGTTGATCAGTTTTATAATTACTAGTAACAAGAATAGTAATAAGTAGATCTTATTTTGAATAGACCTGAGTAGATCATTAATTTGTATGGATTTCAGAATGAAAGGGTAGCGGGTAGTGAAGTTTAAGGTAATGACAGCCTAGTATTAGTCTAGTAGGATGTTGTTTTCATCAATAAGATTTAGTGATGTTTTGCTTCAAAAGATAAACACATTTGACATTAATAGCTGAGTTATTTGACTTTGACCTCAGTGTCTGGCCTAGACATGTTAGACGTGCTTGCATCTGAATGCTTAAATGCTAGTATGCATTATGTTCTTGTTGCAAAACAGGAATGTACCACCATACATAGCACATAATTTGTAAATGATGAAGTGATTAATATAGCAAATAAATTCCTTCAAACTTAAATTGTGTCACAAGTACAAAACACACATCTCAAATAAGGCACATGCATATAGTATAAAGACATCACATTTTATATTCTCTGTCTTTTTGAAAAACATCAGTGTTGCTATATTTGCATTACTGGGGTTCATCATTGAAACTTGTGTCGATTGTGTTGACAATAAATGTAGTTATATTCCAATGTCTGAGGGTCAGCATGCAACAATCCACTTTCTTGCTCTGATCAGATTCTAAGTTGTTTACTTTCTGTTCAGTAGTCATAATAAAACCTAAAAATAAGTAACATACATGTAGTCTGACTCTGATCCATGCTAGGTGCCCAAAGTTGTGAGTATACCAAAATTTTGTGGTCTTGACCTTTCTTTTCTGCTGGGTAAAGGGTAACTTAACTTACTTTGGAGCTGTAGGTAAGGTTATCATATAATATGTACTGTCATTTGTATTTAAACATCTTGCAAAAGAATTTCTCTTATGTATAACATAAGTTGATGCCACAAACCTAATGCTTTATTATTTGAAGAGCATTAGGGCTAGGTGGTCTCCTGCCAGTCCAGCTATTAGTGTAGCCTAAATACAGCCTGTCCCTTTGTCATTGTTTACACTACATAACAGCACTTCCATTAGTGAAGAAGCAGGCAGAATGCCATGTGTTATAGTGAATAGTTAACATTAGTAGACTGGGATTCCAAATGGATCTAAATGCCTTGGACTCCAGGTACTGTTGATGTCTCTCTAGAGGGTAGTGTATTATATCACTTTGCCAGCATTGAGGCATTAATGTAATGCTACTAGTGTAAGCATGAATTGAGAGTAATCTTTTAGTTCCATGTAAGTTGTGTGGTAGAAAGAAAATTTGGGATCACAACAGAACCTTTCACAGCAGAAACTATTGTAATCTGTTTATCAAAAAGATATGTGGTATGTTGCACGTACTGGAAATATTTTAAACATACCAGTATCTATATATGTCTTACATTCAATGTAGTGCTTATGACTGTTCCGTTGTTCTTATACCGATACTCATAATTCACTATTCTGTTTACAGTCTGCTGATCCCAGTCTCATCATATCAGTTGTTACTTTGTTAGCTAAGACATACCGGTAGTCTTTGTCATGGATATTTCAGTGCTGCACTTTTGATTGCAACTAAACTTAGTGACTAGAATTACTACTGCCAGTAGTACTTTGTGGTATATGTACTTGAATAGGACCTTGACATTGTCCTTTCTAATTTGGTCAGTTATTGTTCCATGGAGCTGAAAACTGGTTTTATAATTATAGGCAACATATGGCACCTTCTGCCCAGCAGGTCCTTTATGCCTACTAGTTCATTTACTTGACCTCTTCTCTTTTTTTGTTAAATACAGGTTCAAGGAAAGGATCCATCATGTGACATAACCCAGGACATCGTGGAGGAGTCAGAAGAAGAGAAGTTTGAGGATATGCCAGACGCCGCCCCTCCCATCGAGCTGCCGCCCTGCGAGCTCAGCAAACTGGACGAGATCTCCGAGGTCTTCAACAGTGTACTTCCATCCCCCATTCGGAGAGAAAAGCTGGCCAACGCCATAGAGTATGAAGGATACATCAAGAAGATAGTAGACTTGTTTCACATGTGTGAGGACCTGGAGAACTTTGAGGGCTTGCACCAGTTGTACGAGATTTACAAGAGTATATTCCTGTTAAACAAGAATGCACTGTTTGAAGTCATGTTCTCAGATGAGTTCATCTTTGATACCGTGGGAATACTGGAGTATGACCCAAGCAAACCTGAAAAAGCCAGTCATCGGGACTATTTGCGAAACAGTGCATCCTTTAAAGAGGTCATTCCCATCAGTAATGAAGAACTGCGACAGAAGATCCACCAAACGTACCGAGTTCAGTACATCCAAGACGTGGTGCTGCCCACACCGTCAGTGTTTGAGGAAAATATGCTGTCAACACTAAGTTCCTTCATCTTCTTCAACAAAATAGAGATAGTTAGTATGATACAGGTGAGTGGTACTGCAAGTTGATTTCAATCATAGTTAACAAGGGTAGGACATTGTAAGTTGCACATGTAACATCTTGCTGATTAAGTCTGTGCATTATAACTTAGAAACAACTGTTGGTCTATGCCAAGGCAGTAGTATGTATTAGGGGATTGCTACCGTTTTCCATCCAGTTCAGAAACTGATGGCAGGAACCTGTATCTCACAGAAAATCAGTATACAGTAATTAGCTGCATTCCGTTTGAGGCAGTGTGTTGCCCTTAAAAGTGATTTCCACAGACTATCAGTATCACACTTAAATATAAATGCTACTGAAGCTTTTGGGAGCTTGCTTCAGAACAAGCTTTTGGGCCTACAAACTTTTGGGCTTGCTTCAGAACAAAGGTCTCCCAAGTGTATGGTCAAATCTTATGATAAATAATGCAATACAACCTGTTCCAGGATGATGAGAAGTTCCTGACAGAACTGTTTGCTCAGCTCACAGATGAAGCCACGGACGACAACAGAAGAAGAGAATTGGTAGGATTCTGAAGATTCATACCAGTTTCTCCATAGGAACAAAACATGAACAGACCCAGACAACTCTCCATGGGTCTAAGTCAGCAACATTTGCATGATGATAAATATTTCCTTTATAGTTTCGCTTCTAACTGAAAATCTTGTTTTTAACACCCACCGAGCTATTCATGAATTCCATTGTATTGATAGGAAGAAATAAGTAATACTTTTATTGGATGTTGCTTTGAAATTCTTTGTTGAATACTCCACAATCTGCACCTGGCATTTAGTAGTCTTTACAACTCAACAAGCAACTTTGCAAGTCAACAAGCAGTACTTGTCTGCATGCGAGACAAAAGTAAATGTTGTATTGACCTTTTTTTGCAGGTTAACTTCTTGAAAGAGTTCTGCACCTTCTCACAGACACTGCAGCCACAAGCTAAAGAATCTTTCTTCAAGGTAAAACAGTGAAACAGATAAACAATATTATATTTTCACAATACCTTACAGACTAATGAGGAATGGGACTTACACACAGATGCTGTACCTGTTAAGTGTCATTGTGTGATATGGATTCTGTCGGTTTCCATGTTCATAGGTGTTATGACTGGCTTTGTCTCCTAGGTCATGAGGTATAAATAATTGCATGTAGTGCATAAAGTGGGCTCATCAATCATGAAGTACTAAGTTTGGCAATCCCAGGCAATCTTATGAGTAACAAGCAGATGTGTTTGTAAATCAGGTATTTCTCTCTTCTTCAGACATTATCCAATCTCGGGATCCTTCCAGCATTAGAAGTCATTTTGGTAAGTACCAACACCCTACTTTTGAAGAAAGTAACATGCAGTTGTTCATCAGTCCAGATGTGGACTTAAAGATTCTGCTCAGACATTTATCACAGTTATTGTTTGGCTTACGCTACTTGCCATATGTAGGCATCAGCAGGTAAATAGAGGTTTGAACTTTTCATTGAGGAGTGTTTTATGGGAAGTACAGGATGTCTTTTTTGCTGTTCTCATGTGCTTTATTAATATACTGACCTAGTTCCATGGATAGTTAGGGCTGTTTTTAGACCTCCACAATTTTTCCCGATTTTGCCCTTACTGTAGCTCATATCTCTTGGGAAATGTCAGTTCTACAGAATTTTTGTGATCTGCAAGGTGAATTGAATGCACAGAGATGATGATTGACTGGTATTATGAGACTATACACACGCCTGACTAAGTTCATCTGTTTTTATAGAGCATGGATGACCCTGAGGTGAGACAAGCCTGTACAGACATCATCATGTACATAGTGGAGTACAGCCCGTCCATGGTGCGGGAGTTCATCATGCAGGAGGCCAACCAACAGGACGATGACATTCTGCTTGTCAACCTCATCATCGAGCAAATGATCTGTGACCCTGATCCAGGTACAGGGCTGCTTATGTATCTTCACATAATAGATTGCGCCTGATTTCAATTAAAATTTTTCTTCTTGCTCATAGTCATACTGTGTTCTGACATGTAAAAAGTATGCCAATGTCTGCAAGGGCTGACTTTTACAAGTGTAATGATATTGGTTTTGAAATATTCGACTAGAAAATGGATTTTTCTTAGTTCTGCACTGTGGCATATTTTAGGTGAGTGTTCTAGTTCATGGGAGTAAATTATGCCCATTTGTATTGCAGAGCTGGGAAATGCACTTCAGCTGAGTGGAGTGTTGAGGATACTGATTGACCCGGAGAACATGATGGCAACAGCAAACGTAAGGATCGTTTTGATGTAGTCCTGGGATTGTAGTTGTTCAGTTGTTGGTCTGTGATCGATAATGTTGTGTAATGGTGGACAACCTGCGTCTTGCAACAAGGCTATAATCGCAATGTTTTTTGTAGTTACAATATATACGTTAGTCTGCATCTTTGATAGTGGTATTTCTGACAATGTAAGAATATTATGACACTCTGAAAGGAATTAAATACTAAGCCATAGGCAATCATTTGCTGAGCTGTACAATGCAAAGATGCCATCAGCCATCTGCCTATCTCTGAATAACTGACATACTGAATAGATATTACCAGTAGATACAGTACCAGAAGCACAGGTTGAGTCTGAGAATGTGGGACATTGTCTGTGTTAGCTGAACTCGATGATAACAATACTGAAGCCCAGCAAAACATGGATAAGGAATTTAGTCTTTTTGAAAAGATATAGAATACTTAAGTCTGTCTGAAGACAGGTCATGGCATCTAAAATTATCCATAGCACATGAAATGAATGTATAAAGTGATATCTGGATTTGTTGTTGATCTAATATCAGCCATTCACCATTGCCGACCATAAGGCATGGGCCTCTGTTCCTTTTCCCCAGAAAACTGAGAAGACAGAATTCCTCAGCTTCTTCTACAAGAACTGCATGCACGTGCTGACAGCCCCACTATTGGCAAACACTACAGAGGACAAACCAAGTAAAGGTATGTGACCGTTCACTTGATGTGACTACAATTAATGTTTGAAAATGATTTTGTGTCAGAGTGAATTTTTAATCTGGTATCAGCACATGGCTGTTAGCTGTGTAATGGGAGATGAAAATCAATACTATGACATTGTATTGGAAGATTTTTCTCAAGTGATGACAGACGCATTGTAGGTCAGTATTCCTGCCATCTGTTGTCATAATAACAGGAACTAAGTATGCTTGCTGTGGACTATATAACAAGCTACCTATATAACAAGCTACCTCTATTGCATTACACATTCTAACTGAAGTTATGCTTGAACAAGTTACAGATTAACAAAAGTTGAACTTGACACTGAATTTTGTTCAGTTGATTTCCACTTTTCACCTTCCTAAGCCAGGGTAGGGTGCAGACTGGTAGAACTGCTGGAAGTTCTAACTTGTGTCCCTTTCCAGATGACTATGTGACAGCCCAGCTGTTGAGTCTGATCTTGGAGCTGTTGGCCTTCTGTGTGGAACATCACACCTATCACATCCGAAACTACATCTTCAACAAGGACCTGCTGCGCAGGATCCTGGTCCTCATGAAGTCCAGCCACGGACATCTCGCACTAAGTATGAACCAACTTCTACTGTTGGGGTGATCTTGTATGATTTCTATTTACTAAAGTTTAATCTGTAGTTGTAGGATTCTGCTGTCATTGTCATCTTGTTTATTTCACATAAGGAGGAAAAGACATCATAACCTCAAGTGAAGTACATGTTTATGTGTGAGTATGTATGTGTGACTGTGACAGAAACTGCTGTTGTTTTGTTTGCTAAACAGGCCTAAATTTTATGTTGTTCCCTGAAGGTGCACTGCGGTTTGTTCGGAAGATCATCAGTTTGAAAGAAGAGTTCTACAATCGCTACATCATCAAAGGCAACCTGCTCAAGCCTATTGTGGACGCCTTCCTCACCAATGGACAGCGCTACAACCTCCTCAACTCAGCTACATTAGAACTCTTCGAGTTCATCAGAGTGGTAAGCATTGCATTAGTGTTAGGGTAGTATTATAACATCACTTTCAGTTTACCAGTGACTCCTGGCCTGCTTGCCCCAAGTGCTGAACAAACAGGTATTGTTTGCCTCAACCCCATTGCGTCCTGCAACATTTTGAATATTGTGCAGGGATGGAGATGTTGCAATTTTTAATTTCCTTCAGACAAAGCTGTTTACTATATATTTTGATGTGTAATGTTAGTTTGAAGTGGTGCTGACAATGTCTTTTGTTCCTATGAATGTTCCACAACAGGAGGACATCAAATCTCTGGTGGCCTATGTGGTTGAGACATTCTACGAGCAGCTGAAAGACGTTGATTATGTCAACACCTTCAAGGGACTCAAGTTGAGGTATGAGCAGCACATGGACAGACAAAACGTCAAGTCTAGCTTGGACAGGTACTGTCCTGTAACCATGTTTTTTTTTTCAAAGAAGTGAATTGTGTTAATCCATTTTATTCCAACTACTGAATGTCACAGGTTCTATTAACAATAGAGATAGAAAGGGTTCATGATTTTCTTTGCAGCTTTGAGAGGGGAAATGTAACTAAATTTAGTCACCTTTCAATCAATTGTGAATTCTGAACTTGTCCACTAACTTACTAGTGAGGTTGTTGGTTGTGTTGTAAAAGTACTGTAGAGCACTGTTAGAAATGAATGTCAAAATGTTACAAATATGTGTACAATACATCAAGATATACTTGGAAATGAATTAATGTTAGACAGTGGAGTGACCTCTAACGTCACCAAAGTGTGAGAATTAGTTGTAACAGTAACACTATCTACAACATACAAATGAGTAATTTCTTCCTTATTGTGACGTCAGATGGTAGGTTGCTCATTGCCCCTCTGTTCTGGTGTTCCTGTGGTAAATTAAGTGTTTGACAAAGATGCACATGACCTTTGTCCCTACAGTGTTCCGTCCATTTTGCGGAACCACCGCTACCGAAGAGACGCCCGTTCCCTGGACGAGGAGGAAGAGATTTGGTTTGAGCAGGATGAGGAGGAGATGGAGGATGGGGAGGCTGTGGTCCCAGTCACAGACATGCTCAAAAACAAGATGGATGAAGAACTGGACCACATCTCAAAAATCATTGATGGAAAGAGAGGTAAGTACATGTTTGAGAAAGTAGTAACTTATAGGTGGGGCAACTTAGAATTCTGATAGGCAACCTAATTTTTGCCGTAGGTTGCCCACAAAAAAGTGTTTTGTACACTGGTTTCAATAGTCCTCCATGACAAGTAGCTACAATGTGTATCTGGTAAGTGTATAGATAAATACATAAAGTAAAAGAAAACATGTTTCTTTCTTCCTTGGAGATGATAGTTTGCAATAAAGTTATTGTCGCCTTGATGGATTGTATCTTTCCATAGTCTTATATCAGGAGTTCAAAGGAATCTTAACCAGCCTATTTATAATAATCCATGAGAAGTAATGTGAAGAGTAGACAAACATAGGGATTAGTGATGAGATAGTTGATGTGTACTTCCTTTTCCTGTAGCTCGTGAAAGTGAGAACAAACCACCCTCACCTTTAAAAAACCCCACAAGAAGTCCCAGTCCGCCACCTCCGACCAGGAAGTTCAACACATCTCCTCCAGCTGCATCCACGTCCCCACCAGCCTCACCAGAAGTCAAGACCAACAATGTGAGTTCTGTCAACAGTCACCAGTATTGGGCATACTTCTGACACATGAAAAACTATCCAATTGTTCTTGTGCTTGAGGACATTTAAGTAATCAGGTACAATGTTGCTTACTTGAAATTATAAGGATATAAACATTCTAACTTTGCCTCACAACTGTTTCTCCAGGGAGGCATCACTGGACTTGTAGACTATCCAGATGAAGATTCAGACGAAGATGAAGACGACGACAGAAATAGTAGCATACCTGCCAAAAGGCCACGTCTGGCTACCTAAGGAGACATACAATCCCAATCGAAATCATGCACAGTAAAACAAATTTGGTCAAGGAAAAATGGGTAGAAAGGCCAGGACCATTGCAAGATTTGCAGTCTTCCATCTGTAAGATGAGAAGCTCTTCAGGCCTTGGGACCGAAATGTTACTGGACTGGAATCCAGAAGGACTGAGTAATCTGTAACTTTTCCCTTTCTTCTCTTTACCTCTGGTCAACCAAGGTGGATTCATGTATTTACCTGCAAACTGAAAACAAATCTACAAGAATAGTTATGTATACTTAAAACAAGCCAGTCTGGGCTTCACTATCAGCAACTTTGTAGCCTCATCTTCTACTAGTTTGACCTGTGACCTCTGACTACATGTAAAACAGAGACCAATACATACGTCAGTCAGAAGGAAGTATAATAGCTGGACACCAGGAGTAACAGGTTGTGTTTTTTTGTGCACACAAAAGTCACAGGTTGAAAATTGTAAATATTAAAAAAAAATCAAAAGCATATTGAAAAGACAATACATAGCAAGAGGTTGATATGAAAGGAATAGTTCTACAAGGATTGTTCATCTGGATTCCAGCGTTAACAATTTTATATCTACTAACTTTATCACCAATGGGACCACAGCAAACAGCTAGGAAAGTAAATGCCCAGTGATTTTCCAGCATTGAGGTGAACAGCTGTCTTGACACTTGGGAGATACCAACAGGACCTGATGCACCTGCCATACCTTGACATTGTTCCCTACCAATCACTAGCTAGATGTAGAAGTACCAAGGTTGTAGTTAGAGGGCACATAATGGTAGAACTACGCATGTGTGTCTTTAATTGTGACTTGTTTTCTTCTCAGAGATGATAGATGTTGTTCAGGGACAAGCACAAATGAGACTGTTTCTGCACTGATTTGATCACTTGGTTCTTGGATTTTCAACCTAAACATCAAGTACTATTGGGGAAAAACACTCAGGAGCCCTTATATACTTCACAGCATGTATTGTAGCATTCACTTGTGGCAATCACAGAGTACAAATGTGTTAGTTGTAGGTACCATCTCTGTAGTAAGGTCATAGAGGCAATAAGCTGAATGTAACAATTGTATAAAGATAATTACCCTTTTTGGTTTTAACCTTAAGAAGAATGTCCTCAAATCAACTTACTCTTTTTTGTTTTGTTTTTATATTTGGAAAAAATTTTACAAGATAGTCCAGGAATCAAGTAACTCAATTGGTGTGTCCTATTGGATACTTCTGTCGCTGCAGTCAGTTAGTACAAGGCAGCCAAATTCCACAAAGTAGAATGCCTTGCATCCAGTCACTTGTCATGACCCTTGGGGGAAAATTGTGTCCTTCATTGTTGTTTCCATGTATTTTAAGAAGTAAACAGAATGGTGAGAGCAGGGCAGAGTGTTGTGTGTCTCACCCATGTACATACTTGACTAGGGCCACAATTATAGGTACTTACTACTGTAATCTTATGTAGAGCACTTTTGTTTGAAATGTATCATGTAACTACAGTTCAAAATTGGACTAATCTGGGTTGCCATGCCCCTTAGTGCTTCTCTACTTAAGTAGGCATATGCTATTGTCTTGAGCTGCAAACTGTTGTAATTATTTCAAAATTGACTATTGGACGGGGAATAGGTGTTACCTTCCAAAGTATGTATTCAAGACAGAATTGTCACAGTCTGTAAGAACAGGCCCATACAAAGTGTAGCTGAGTGAATGAATGCCTTTTACTCAGTAATTTATTTTTTGTGTGTTTAAGTAGACATAGTCAATGAATTTCTCTTAGAGATTAGCTGTACTGATTTGTAAAGTAAATCCACATTTTATATCAAGTATCAACAAGGCCAATAATAGAGCACAACCGTTAAAAATGAATTGTTACTTTTGACTTTTTATTTTCAATTTTAGAATTGACTATGGCCCCATTTAGATGTTGTCACCCATCTTCCCTATGGGTCCCAATGCCACGCGAGTCCGTTTGGGCTGCTCTCACTTTCTCTCAAGTTTTGTCAATCCACAGACTTATTTGGACTTTTACAGATAAACAAGGTTTCCTTCTTTCCATGCCTCCTTACTGATATGTACCCATGTGTGTGTGCCAGAGGCAAATACGAAAAGAACGTCCTAGATTTGTGACCACTGTGTTTCCAGAAATATTTTTGTACTGTTGTGGAACAGTAAGGGAGCTGCAACACGTCCCCCCTAAGGAACTCCTACCATACGTTGTTCATGGTGTCTGTCATACTGCCCCTGAAGAAAAGACATTGGTAGGATTAAATGTACCATGCTTCATCATGTAAAAAGATGAACTGCCCACCATGGGATTTTATCTGTAGTATAACCGGGGTAGTCTGTATGGAATAAAGTGCTTTGAAATAAAACAACCTTTGATACCTTCTTTCTCTTGTTCATCCCAAACAGGATCTGTAAATGGCAAATGAATACCCCTGAAAAACGTGTCCATGGCAACTTCATGATCACATTAATCATAAACCTTTGGTGCAATCAATGCAGCTTCATAGTGTGTGTTGTCATATCAGAAGAGATAGAAATTTATAGAAGATACTGAAGATACATGTACTTGGATATATCACACAATGGTAGTCAAAAGGATCTTCCTCCACATGAAATTTCCACCATAACCTCGAAAAGACATCAGGACATTACATGCATACACAAATTACAATGTATTCTGATATCACTAAGAACTCTCCACAAATACTCATTTGGTACATGTAGGCTTTGTGCCAAACAGTTACTAGGATTGAGAATAAGACGAAATGACATGTAAGATCACACCTCTCTTTATAGAGGTGTCTTTATTATCTCATTCATATTGTGTAATACTTCCTTTAATTCATTTTATACCGATTCTATTTATCAGTAAACACAACATACCTTCACAAGACTAAGAAAATGGATGATAAGCCAGATTGTGAGTGAGCTAGGTTGATTTACTTGGGCAAAATGTACAGTACACAACTCTGGATAACTAAACAATGATTACATCAGGCTTGCTGACTGAAGTGCACATTGCTGTTGCATCACCCAGTACAAATTTAAGCAGTTGTAATCATGCAATTAGATTTCTATAAATCGTACGTCCTATCTAAACTTTAATACGAAAATAGCTGTAGATGTACTGTCAGTTAATTTGTCCCATTTAAAACCTTTTTTCAGGTGTGATGATCCATGGATAGTGTGGACGAATCTATTCATACATGGGATTGCTTACAGGGTCAGGGTTCCAGCACCGGCTAGTCAAAGTGTATTGACATTGTACGTACAGAAGTGTAAGAATATGGAGAAAATAAGAAACGTATATGCTCACTACAAAGCCTCTAGAACCATTTGGTTAGGTTGCCAATGTTGATGATTACTGTCCGAAAGACAGCCACACCCCCTTTCGATTGTGGATTGTTCCGCACAGTCATAACTCACTCCTGTGAACTCACTCACTCCCAAAGTCAACAACATAACATTTCTCGGCGAAGGAAAATCCTGCCGTACTTTTGGAAAACTTTTCCCAGGGAAAACTCCAAGAGAAAATGTCTGATATATCCCCTATACATGGTTAGGTCTTTATATTAACCTCCTCGGTACGTGGGACGTGACAGACGTGCCCCTCCCACTGCGCATGCCCCGCCGCCGTCCTTCTGTTCACCTTACCGCGCGAAGATGGCGGCGTCTGTAAGTTCTCAACTTCGTTATTACTACGTTTCCCGGCAAACTTGGCGTTAATGGTTGAAACGTCTGTGCTATCTATTGACCAGTGACCCGTGATTGTTCTCCTCAGATGATTAAGTTAATGTGTAACGCTGACGTGTCGAGTGACCGGGTGGTCACAATACCAAAGTCCACTCGTACTATAGTCGTAAATTGCGATTGGTTGATTTTTATTGGACAAGAACAACATGGGTTGATGGCAGGACACACCTCTTGTTTGTTGTACAGACCACGATGCAGTGGGCTCCACACGATTACCAGCTTCTGGCCAAGCAGGACGCATATCGGGCCATGGAGGCGGAGTTGGCCAAGCTGTATGCCACGGCACCGGAAGATGACTCTGCCAAGAAGGTTAGTCACCCCACTGTGCGGCCGTAACGCATTCCTATCTGTGTACACAGGTTTTCAGCTAAACCTGCCAAATACCACTAAACTTCCTAAAAAAACTAATAGACGTCGGGTATAGGGATTGTGTTCAGAGATCAAGATAGGGTTCAGTGGTGTTAAATACCCTGGTAGATTGGTACCATAAAAATGCATGGAGGGGGTGTTGCTCCCGAGTGGTGAATTGTCAAGGTCATGTACAAACCAGAAATAGGTGTTTAGTAGGATAGTTCTGACAAGAATGTGAGAAAGGGTCTACAGTGTTCTCAGGACACGCCCACTTATTTACAGGGGAAACAATGTGTTTGTACATATCAGAAGGATTAAATTTCCAGAAACAGCTTATCTAGATTATGGTTTGAACACATTGTATGCTCAAGCCTTAATTAAGTTAAGTGCAGGTCATGACTGTGTCCACCAACTAAGTGCTCTTTTACAAACATGAAAATGTCTACTAATGTTAGTAGGAAAACATGTTTGAGCCAAGTTTTTCCACTTCTGCTGAAAACTAGACATCTTCATCCTCAAAATTTAGTCAGCATGATTGAGCAAACACAGTGTAGACATGGACAGACATGGATGGAGGGATTAGTCTGTTATCCTATTGTATTTCTTTGTAACTTCTCAATTTTGGATTAATCACACCACAGCTGTTTTACATTAATATGGATTTAGATTCATTCTTGATAACATTGTCCCCTTCCCATTTTTTAAATATCAATTACAGCTTTATCATTAACTTTCTGTAACAAATTCTGTAAATAAGTCTTGTCTCTGATTCAGACCCAGAGCCTATTATCTCACAGGTTCCTTGCCATCTCTTAAATGGTCATTACTGTTACTTTCTTCATGTAATCACCTCTCAGCAGAACACCTACCTTAGGTATGTGCGTAATCTGCTTTGTATTAACAGGAATCTGTAAATAAATCTGTACCAACATCATAGATACCCTTTCTAATGGCCAGCAGCTATTTGTTTAATCATTGTAATTTTGTCAATCTGTACTTTCCTCCCCTACAGACACTACAGAAAGATTTTGAAGGCTTCAAGAAGCTCTTCACCAGATTTCTCCAAGAGAAAAGTCCCCACATCAACTGGGAAAAGATCCAGCCTCTGCGGGAGGGTGCTGTAAGTCTGATTAAAGATTACAATAGAATATACAGAGATCTTTTGAAAAAAAATAACTTCTTCTCAAAGTAAAAGGTCTCAGAGCCAGCAGTATGCTGTAGATGCATTTCATCATCATCATCATCATCATACATCCGGAACAAATGCGGTGAGGTACACATTAGATAAGAATAGGGGTTACAAAAGACAGCAGTGTACCTTGGAAGATTTTCTTACCTTACTTAGTAGCTATCTGCCATTGCTTGCTATTGAGAGCGGTGAGAATGAATTGAGAAGTGACTGCTGTGAAGTTAGATGTATTCTGTATTGCAGGTGTTACCTTATGCTGACATAAATCAGAGAGAGCTGACACCCGAGGTCTGCTCCAAACTACTGAGTAAGCTGGTAGTGCTGAAGCTGAATGGAGGCCTGGGCACCAGCATGGGCTGCAAGGGGCCCAAGAGCCTCATCTCTGTACGGAGTGGCCTGACCTTTTTGGACCTGACCGTGCAGCAGATTGAGGTTGGTACACAGTACAGGTGTAGATCTGGCTGCTGTATGTCATGTAATGTTGTTAGACATCAGACCTCAGAATTAACTATTTTCCCTATTACTCATAGAAAATTCATACTCTACTATTGGATAAATTACAGATATTACTTTTGGACATTTCAAGTAATATTCTCCACTCTTCTTTAACGTCACTTCCAGTAATGAACTAACAGAACTTGTCAACACTTACATGAGTAACTGAAAAAAAAACAAGACAAGGACTTGAAACTTTGAAACTTGTATAGCCATTGACATGTAAATGAGATAAGGTATGATGCAATGAGGTGGGTAGATTACTTCATGAGACCCACGTGATACTGATAAACTCTATTTCCTCCAAGTTACTCCAAACTAGTTCAGAAATAAAAGAAACAGTAATGTTGATACCAGCTGATCAAGCATTACAGGCTGTGTCCAGAGTGCTGCGTCCTCCTTCCCTTGTCTGAGATATTATGTATTATCTCCATGTAGGAATTGAACCGAAGGTACAACAGTGAAGTGCCTTTGGTTCTCATGAACTCCTTCAATACTGATGAAGACACAGAGAAGATTCTGAGAAAGTACAAGTCCTGCCAAGTTAAGATATTCACCTTCAACCAGAGCAGGTAGGCTGCACTTAAAGTCATATCCTTAAAACAAAATAGTTCTTATTATAATAAAATTTATATGTACATGTATAGTGTTATGACTGGAAAAATTGATGATAAACAATGAAACTTTTGTTGTTTTGTCATAGTGAGAAGGAACATGTTATGAAAGTTTTGTAAAATGCAGAACTTTTGGGGCAATGGGCAAAGGAATAATTCATTGCATCATCTTGCCTTTGTCAAAAACAATTGCTTTATGACGTATTGTAGAAATTCTATTCCTATCATTTTTATCATCAGTTGCTACAATTTTGGTTGTTCATGTGTCCATGGTCAGGTATCCCAGAATAAACAAGGAGTCCCTGCTTCCCATTGCAACAGATGTGTCTGAGTCCAACCTGGAAGCGTAAGTAGATATTTGAACTATCAGAGGTTTGTTCTACTTTTGTGTTTCTGGCTGGGATATACATAGTAAATCAAATCAACTTAGCTTTAGGTTGTAACTGCAGTACTGATGTCTGCCCCTCTACACCCCCCCTTCCTGCAGGTGGTATCCCCCAGGACATGGGGACACCTACAAGGCTTTTGCAGAGTCTGGGCTCTTGGACCAGTTCATTAAGGAAGGCAAGGAATTTGTCTTTGTGTCAAACATCGACAACCTTGGAGCAACTGTGGACTTCAGTATCCTTACCATTCTACTGTGCTGTAATTGTTGTTTCCACTACTGTTCGTACTTCTTATACCATAAGTTGGGTAATAATATTGAAGCATTGTGTATAGTCATGCTTCTTGTCCTACGGTTTGCACAGTTATTTTTGTGGATTTGTATAACCTGCATGTGTATCAGCTTGAGGTATCAGCTTCCCTGCCAAACTAATGGAATTACACCCTGTTGTCACAACTGTTCAAATCAAAGAATACTCTTGTAATAGTAATATTTCTACATGGGAAAGTTAATGTAATATACATGTAGTTAGCATGAATTGCCAGTTATGACCTTAACTGAAGAGGCATATTAAACCATATGGTGAACCCGCCGAATAGTCCCTCATGTGAATATGTTATGGAAGTGACTGACAAGACACGGGCTGATGTCAAGGTAATGTACATGTTGCACCTTTAGATTAGCTGAAATAATACATGTATCAAATTGGCTGAAGAGAAGAACTAATTTGTAGTACAGTGTATTTTGTTGTACCGGTAGTATTTTTCATTGGAGCAAGTTACTTGGACATGAACTCTCACGATAGAAGTGTTGTGAGAACTGCTAAATCAGAAATCTTTGAAAATATGGAGTGCCTGATTCAACATTGTTAATAGTACTTTTTGTCAATCCTTACTAAGATGCAAATATGCATTTGAAGCATTTACTGGTTTTATATTACAACTCTGTATCCTACAACCACAGGGAGGCACACTGGTTGGATATGAGGACAAGCTGCGTCTTCTGGAGATAGCACAAGTGCACAAGGATCATGTATGTATATTTTCCTATGTGCATCAGAAGAAAGATTGATGTACAGAATTTCAGTCAAGAAAGTTGTGATGCACTTCTCCTCAAGTATCTTACTTTAACCCCCATTGAAAACACCATTACCAAACCTACATGTATGGATTATCACTTGTAAAATCAGCTATCTGTTCCCTTGTAATTTTGGACATTTGTCTTTTTTGTTGAATACAGGTTGATGAATTCAAGTCAGTGACAAAGTTCAAGTAAGTGTCTACATTCTTGTAGCAGCAAGTAAAAAGCTCTCCTCCAGATAGATAGGTAAATTGTGAAGTACATGCTGGTTATGGGGGGGATGTATTTTTGCATGAAAGACTTCTGAACAGTTTCCTTGGGAAAGTAGAGGCTAATTGAAGCCAAAGTTATGGAGATGAAATGACTCACTCACTGTATGCACACAGAAATGGTATGATAAATATTTGCAAGATATTTTTTCACTTCAGAGGTATCTTCATGTTTGATATCTAATGTTGACCACATACTATAAATGTGAATTATGCAGAATTTTCTCTAGTCTGACCCAGCACATTTCCCCACAGATTCTTCAACACAAATAACTTGTGGATGAAGCTTTCTGCCATGAAACGTCTGGTGGACAAGAATGAACTTGACATGGAGGTCATTGTAAACAACAAGGTCAGTTATATCCAAGATTATATCAGAGGCTGTATTTACTGCATAGAACTTCCATACTTCAACTCAGTAAACCACTTTATCCTTTGTGCAGACCATGCTCACATGGATATGTCATTTCTATTGCTTTGCCAATTCCAACGCCATTTGGTGATGGTGTAGGTTATATCAATGCCTCATACGAATCACAGCTGGATTGTCTGTAATGTCAACATTGGTATTGTTTGTTTTCAATTGGCATCATGTGCAAGTTTATTGTTGTGTCAGACACTGTCAGCTAGAATTGGATGTGGGGTAACCAATTTAAAGGTGATTTTACCATACAAAAGTTCAGGTGTGCATTATTTATGACATTACTCAGGATTTCTTCATAGAGATGACATTATATTCCACAATATTAGTTTGAAGTGACAAGTGGTACATTTGTTTTCAGACACTAGCAGATGGGCTTGGTGTCATCCAGCTGGAGACTGCTGTTGGGGCTGCCATCAAGAACTTTGACAATGCCATTGGTACATCAACTCTTTCTATTTGTGAGGGTGTAAGGAGGAATAAAATGTACAATGTCCTTATCACAATGCACATGTACCCGTTGTTATGCAACATGAAAGTCTTGCTCTTTTTTCCTTTTGTTCCAAAGGAATCTTTAAGCTCTTAAAAGTGCATTTGTTTTTTATCAAGCTTAACAGCTCAAATTACTTACTGTCATCAATCAAGAAATTACAAGTGTGTTTGTCATCCTCCTCAGTTACCTACTGATGAACTTTTTCCATAGGGATCAACGTGCCACGGAGTAGGTTCCTGCCTGTGAAGAAGACGTCAGACTTGCTGCTTGTGATGTCTAATCTGTACGACATGGACAATGGCTTTTTAGACATGAGTGCCAAGAGACAGTTCAAAACTGTTCCTTTAGTCAAACTGGGGTCCCACTTTGAAAAGGTGAGTTCTCTCTCTGGCCTGAATGTGTGAAGATGCATATATATCCACAGGCATGATACACTGTAGTTAGCATTCTTATGATTCATTTAAAAATTGCAGCTTGTAGCTAGAAAGCCCTCTCCTTGCCACAATCCTTCATAGACTAGAATTTTTATGGGCGACTACAGGGAGTAATTATTCTTATTTGTTACACCAACATGCCAGAGCATACAGGAACAAAAGTTGTGTCGTGTCGTTTCAGGTTCAGGAATTCCTGCGACGTTTTGAGAACATCCCAGACATGTTAGAGCTGGACCACCTGACAGTCTCAGGAGATGTCACCTTTGGCAAAGATGTATCGTTGAAGGTATTACTTATGTCCCAACTTGTGCATGTTACAGTATTTCTCACTGGGTGTCAAACAATTGGATTGCTTTTTATGGAAGTTGATTTCTTGACTATCAGATAGTTTTCAGAGTTGGTGGCCCTTGTAAGAACTGACTACATGTATAATTTATTTATAGAGTTATTGAGATGTATTCTCACAGCTGATGGTTCATGAACAGCCAAAACAATATGTAAGTTCATGGTCACTGTTCTTGATTTGACTTCTTTTTCTTCTTTAGGGTACTGTAATCATTGTTGCTGAGCATGGGAATCGTATCAACATCCCACCAGGTGCAGTACTGGAGAACAAGATAGTGTCTGGCAACCTCCGTATCCTGGACCATTAGAGCCCACCTTGTGTCCTGGACCATTGCGTGAAGCTCTTGCTGCACACGGCTTATATGTAGACCTAAATCATAAGATAGAGCCATGTGTTTGATAAGACTTAACCGCACAGTGAAACCTTGATAGTACAAAGTTGGTTTGCTTCAAGTGGTAGCTCATCCCTGTGTGAAGAATAGAAAACCACGTGTCCCGTGACAAGTAAAAGACCAAACTGGCCACTTATGGTAACATCCAAGTTCTATCACAAGTGCAGTGGTATTTGGTGATAACAGTAGTGAGTTCTGTTTCATAAGATGGACAGACCCTTGATCTGCTAGTACAAATTGCACCAACAGATTAAAGATAAAAAGAAGGTATGCTGTATTGGGAGTGAGGAACTCCATGTTGTGGAATAGTGTAGTCAGCCTTCTCAGCTGCTTCCATGCTTATCTGCTGCTTCCACTTGTAGTACTAATATTCTATGTAACATCAAGTACAATCAATGTACATGTATAACAGAGTTATATCAGTGTCTGGCTGATGGACCCAGAGTAAGGAGCTATGATTTGATCATATTATATTAATTAGTGCATACTAGTATGTTATAACATTTTTTCTTTTTTCATTGTTAGGTGTTGGTTTTAAAATTTTAAGTGATTTTCCTTTGATAAGTATTTTTATACCATGTTAATTCCAATTTCCTTGATAATCTTTGAAATAGAAAAATTTACATTTACCCTAACCCATAAAAACTGTAGTGATGTGGGAAACTACACAGCTGCATTCATAAAATATTAGAAAAGTAGGTGAAAATCTGGATGCTTAAAATTATGTAATCATGTCCCCATGGCAGCATGTTACTGCAGGCCTTTGTTGCCTCAGTGAGAATTTTAATGCACCGTTCCTTTTCTTTATCCTGATAAAATCCGAGGAATCAGTGTTGTATTGTTGATAAAGTTAGCAATAATGGCAAGTTTACACTACATGCAGTATCAAGAGCCATGTTTAGACCTACTTGAAAGTTATGGTTGTTGTAACGGAAATAATTAATGGCCAAATATGAGATTGACAAACTTGTAGTAGAAATCTACAAAAATTAAGATAGAAATGTGAAGAATTCATTACCAAATTTCAGAAAATCTATAAGAATACCATTGTTAGACATTATGAAAACATTGCATGGGCCAGGTGGCATTGTCAATTTGTTTTCATAATTTCGCTTTTTTGTATGTCTAGTTTAGGATCATATCAATTGTGGGAAAGATAAAATATTACAATAAATTAAGAAATGATATTCTTTTCAAAATGCAGTCCAATTGTCATCAGTTAGAAGGGCCATCTAAAGATGTCCACTTCCAGCCATTTAATATTATATGAAGACATGTATATTAGTGCATGTCCTATACCCATCAAATGTCTCTGTACTGTGAATCACTCAGCTGTTCAATGGAAATCATGACTACAAGTTTGGACCACCTGTTTCTTCATTGATGTGTTTGGTACACACAAACAAGGACAAATGACATTTTAAATCATAGCCATACATAGTATGCTTGCTAAATGCAGTAAGGTTTTCAATGAGGTCAAATGAACTTGATGCAACCATCTTCAAAATCTGTTCATGTCATCACCTCCAGTGGAGGGTACCCTTGGCATAATCTATAAAAAGTCTCTCCCATTTTGTGGCATGAGATATGTATAATGTACATGTATGCACACAGATGCAGACACATATACATCACCATGTATGATGACTGTCTTATAATGTATGATGACTCTTATGATGCTAAGTGCACCAGAGCTTCTTAAATGTATACACTTTGAGGATACATTAATGAAGGACAAATGGGTCATGTTTCTCATGTACATGATGTTCCAGATGATGGTGGGCGTGATTGCCTATACCGGGTAACTCCAGTAACATTACACAACTCCACGTCATAGAGAAAAGACATACACGTACACATTACCAATCATTGGTGAATTCTCCTGTTTATTTATTAGTAGACACATACAGTGACATTGACACAAGTTTTTAACCATTATACTAAGTTTACAGAAGGTAAGTATTTGTTGCTGCAATTTCTCCAGCTGTGTACATTGACACTTTGTTCAATCAAATCAGCTAGTGCCCTTGGATGTCATTCACCAAACAAGTTCAGTAATAAAACTACTCAAAAAAGAGGAATACATTGTCATGATACAATGTAATTATAATATATATTGTTAATGTTCAGCTGCAAAGAAAGTGACTTATTGGGAATCATGTACACGTACAAAGTACTTGGTGGTATGATGTAATTACTCAGCAGTGCCAGATAGTACCCTAATTCTACAGATAACTTTGACTGTAATTTGCTACATACAGTATCACATGAACAGCAACAGCAGGAAGTACTAAATGCTTTGTGCAAAGCTTTCATCTGTTGTTTATCCATGTTTCAGGTGCTGCTTTCCAAAGCATTGCTACAGCAGTATAGTAGGTATATATTTTTCTTGAAGTGCTTTTGTTATTAGAACTGGTAAAAATTAATAATACTAATTAAGATAAGCATGCTTGGAACTGTATGGTGGGTCTGTGTTGTGAAATAAAAATGAGTTATCCTTGTGTTATATAAAATACAAGAAGATGTAAGTAGATATTGTAGTATCCCTGCTTTTGGTTTAAGCTTACCTTGATAAATGAATGATACAGGTTATAAATACAAGTTAGTGAAGCCCGTCACCCACTAAGCCCATACTTGTGACTTGTGGATTTAAAGTTTTGCGTCTTTCCACAATGAGATGACATGATCATCATAAGAGGACCAGTCCTGCATATCATCAGTCTGGGGTCTCCACTAAGTTGTCTGCAGCATCCATCGCCAGTGCAGTTGCATCTTGCATTTTTAAGATCTCGGCCAAGGCACAATACAAGGGTTCACAGAATTTTGCATATCCAGAACTGAAAGAAGAGGATAATCATTTTACTGTACAAATGTACTTAAAACTTGGTCTTCAATCCTCTTTGGATAATAGAACAGGCATTCTGCATTTTGATCTACACTAACTGACATACACATGTATAGAGTGATATAATACCTAAACAAAAGAGTCTTGGCTGAGGGCATGCAACATAAATGTTTGCACAACCTGTGTTGACATAGCATGTCCTTGTGACTGTGTGCACACATACAGCTTACCTGGTCAAATGCAGATAGTCGTACATGTCGTTGTGATTGATGGTCCCATCTGACTGTAGAAGGCCCTGACACACGTCCACCAACTGTACACTGGGGAAAGACTCGAGTAGGGTGGACACTGATCTGTTCACCTCCTCATTCTTCACACGCAGTGGGTTGGGCTGGTGGCCTCGTGGTGGTATGGTCTGGGGTGAAAAAACATCCAATGACAATAAAGCAAACATGACCTGCTTAAACTACTTAATAAGCCTCGAGAAAAGCAAATATGTCAATTACCGATGGACTTACAAATGGACATTTTGAAAACAATAAGTTTATTTACCAAAACCAAAACCTTGGCCTGTGGTTGTTGTTGTACAATGGTCCTCACACAGGCCTCAATCCCCCCTGCAACCTGCTCTGCTGTGTGCCCGTGGTTGTTAGTCCCCGCAAGAAACACCACAACCTGGGGATCAGATGGTTACAAATGCATACGAATGCCTTACTATATTGTCTCTATGTCTGACTGTGAATCACCATTAGCTCTTACAGTTACATGTACTATCATGGTAAACCTGATTTCAAAGTTTCACGAACCACATAATTGAACATGACTGAACTACAGGTAAGGTCTTAAATTCACTTCATTGAAAGTTACAACTTACTGTCTTACATGGGGCTCGTCATTCAATAAATAATAAAAGAAGGCAAGTTTTGGCCTTGGCCTTTTTAACTGATATCCTTGCCTTTCAATATTTCATCCCATTATTTACATCATGTTTCTCCCTTCTATCATCCCACTACCCTAATCATGATGAAACAATCATTTATTACACATTCACCCTTCCTTACACATGAAACATGAGTGACTACCACGTGGAGATGACCTGGGAAGCGACCTGACCTTTGGTGCAATATTTTTCAGTTCTCCGTTCTGTAGTCTCCAGAGGACATGCTGGGTAGCATCTCCGCCACAGCCAAAGTTAAGGCAGTGCATTGGTTCAAACTTCTCTTTCCATATCTGTGGGTCAACAAATTACCAGATAAAAGTAATATTGAGCAGTCTTTACCATACATTTTATATGTACATGTACTTTAAGTTTAATGCAACAAAATTTAAGGCATGGGTATAGGGCTGGTACCTTACATTTGTTTCTAACTGAGTGGGTCTTTATGCTGCCTATAAAATATTAAACACAGAAATCTGTTCCTTGATTTTAATACAGCAGACCTGCTACAGAGTTTCAACTTTCAGTTTCACCATTGTTCTTAAATACCAGTACTAAAAATGAAGCAACAATGTGTCACACAAAACTTGTATCATTCTTTGATATGTGAGCTTACCTGTGTCTGTGTCAGCTGTAGTATTAGAGAATCCCCTACAAACAAAACCTCAGGTTCCTTCTCATGAGCTTCTCTCACATAGTGTTCATGCTGAAACAGTTACATCAGACTTTAATTACATGTTGTACTTGGGCACGAAAGTTTCATTTCCTGTCAATTCATAACAAATATACACTTTCATCCTTAGCCTATGCTTATGTGTTAACCTATGTGTCAGATGTTCATACTATACCCAATATATTACATGCTACTGCATTTGAGATTCAATTACAAAATGATTGCTGGCCAAGTCCATTTTAAAAAAAGTGCATAGTGCATACAATTCTACTGTCTCAAATGGTAACAACTAACATTTCTAAAACCATTTTTCAACTTATGGTTTATCACATAATTTCATCATTAATTAATTACAAGACTATCCCTGCCAGTAGCCTGGGTGCCAGACCAATAGCACACTGGACACAAAGTATCTCAGTGAGCACTGAGATACTTTGTGTCCAGTGTGCTATGGGTCTGACACCCAGGCTACCCTGCCAGGTAATGTTCCTACATACCAGGTCCATCCATCGCCTGTCCCCCTGGACATCCTCCACTGGGACAGGGGTGGCGGCTGGGTTGGTCGTCATGGCAATACACCTCCTAGATGAAATGAAAAAAAACTTAAAACTTATAATTTAGAAATAACAGTTTAAACTTTAACGTTATCACTCACTTGTATATTGTATACTGCAAGCCTTGTAATGCTACATGTTATGTTACATTTAAGAAACCCAACATTTGATATGTAATACATCTATTAGATATGTGGTAAAAACATCAAGGCAGAACATTGAAACCGGTTAACTAAGAAGTCATATGCATGCTGAAAATCATCGTCAAGTCATAAAGTCTTACTTTGTTTGCAGATGTAACGTTAACGTTAATTTCAACACCAATAATTTAACACATCAGTTGTGGTATCAATGGTTAACAATTAAAGATGTGAGATTTTAAGCAGCATACTAATAATGACATATTCGAAGTGCCATGTGTGGCTCTTTTTTTTTTCAAAAGTTTGGTTCTACTCCTATAACTTCGGATATTACCTGAGATTCGCCGTATGCGGCATTTATTCTCTGATCAGAAGTGCCACGATGGAGATTGAGAATGACAGTTGACACTGCTTGACTTGCTACTTGTGCCGTGACAAAAATTCAATGACATCTTCAATGCTATGACTGGATTTCGGCATCTTTAAATCAGTTGTAACAGTCACAGATTGTTTCCTGTCTCGATTTCTGGAGCCTGTCTCTACTCTACTCATTAGACTCCATAAAACCCCTCCCTTTTGCCCTTTCGATTTTCCACCACACCCCACCCAACGATCGTCCCAGGCCGATGTGTTTTCTAAAACATTCAAGTGACAGTTATGTGCGTGTGTATAGCTAACTGGGAAAGGGCACTAGACGTACCGTAGAAGTGCTGACGAAGAGCCTTGAAGCAGAGGGGCGAGAGAATAAACCTCCTACCCAGGACTTGCTGCACGCAAGAAGAAGCTTTTTGACTTACTTAAGAGCACAGCAATACGTAAAGTACCCACAAAGTAGTAAGTCTTGGGTATCTGAATGTTACACTCTATCTAATCTGTTGACCCATTTTAAATATTTTGTGCATATTAATGTGCTATAATATAATCCACGATCACTCTGCAAAAGACATGTGGCTGAATATTAGAACTTTATTAGCGCTAGTGTTCGGTTTTCGCGGACTGATTTCATGACTTGTATCGCACAGGAGTTCAGTGATGATAACATAAAGAGTAACGTTTTGGGCATCAGCTGTAGCTCTTGGACTGTTAATCATGAGATATGCCTTTTTATCAACTATGGCAAAAGTTAAATGGTACATCGGTGGTGGTAATGGGGCAAAATCATTAATGAGGGGAGGCGTGGGCGAGCGTCTTATAATAGAACATTGGTAGGAAACCCTATTTAGGTCAGAGTTCAGACAGCTGGGATAATTTGCGAATAGCGGGTGCGAACTCTTCTCCAACTTTGTATAGATTCTGTGCGTTTATTGGGTCGCTAAATGATTTTGATGAAACGCAGGTATTAACGACCTTCTGGTGGAATTTCGTAACCTCTCTGTGCTCCCAACAGTTACCGGGTAAGACAGTCATATCTCGGTAGAGGCCGCATGTAAGAAGTCACAAGCATGCAAATGAGTACATTACATATGCATGACGCATGTCATTATCAATGGTAATACAGTAGTACCATAGGACCATAGGTACAGACATCACATGTGGTCCATCAACTGCACAACCTCTGAAGAAACTCCTTACGCATACCTGTTCATCCCAGCATTTTCCCATTCATCCTTACGCATACCTGTTCATCCCAGCATTTTCCTATTCATCCTTACCCATACCTGTTCATCCCACCATTTTCCTATTCATCCTTACCCATACCCGTTCATCCCAGCATTTTCCTATTGATCCTTACCCATACCTGTTCATCCTAGCATTTTCCTATTCATCCTTACGCATACCTGTTCATCCCAGCATTTTCCTATTCATCCTCACCCATACCCGTTCATCCTACCATTTTCCTATTCATCCTTACGCATACCTGTTCATCCCAGCATTTTCCTATTCATCCTTACGCATACCTGTTCATCCCAGCATTTTCCTATTCATCCTCACGCATACCTGTTCATCCTAGCATTTTCCTATTAATCCTTACCCATACCCGTTCATCCCAGCATTTTCCTATTCATCCTTACCCATACCTGTTCATTCCAGCATTTTCCTATTCATCCTTACCCATACCCGTTCATCCCAGCATTTTCCTATTCATCCTTACGCATACCTGTTCATCCTAGCATTTTCCTATTCATCCTCACCCATACCCGTTCATCCTACCATTTTCCTATTCATCCTTACGCATACCCGTTCATCCCAGCATTTCCCATTCATCCTTACGCATACCTGTTCATCCCAGCATTTTCCCATTCATCTTTACATCATACCCGTTCATCCCAGCATTTTCCTATTCATCCTTACGCATACCCGTTCATCCCAGCATTTTCCCATTCATCCTTACGCATACCTGTTCATCCCAGCATTTTCCTATTCATCTTTACATATCCCCGTTCATTCTAGCCTTTTTTGCATTGATCCTTACGCATACCTGTTCATCCTAGCATTTTCCCATTCATCCTTACATGTCCCCGTTCATCCTTGTATTTTCCTATTAATCCTTACATATCCCCGTTCATCCTAGCCTTTTCCTATTCATCCTTACGCATACCTGTTCATCCCAGCATTTTCCCATTCATCCTCACGCATACCAGTTCATCCTAGCATTTTCCCATTCATCCTTACCCATACCTGTTCATCCTAGCATTTTCCTATTCATCCTTACGCATACCTGTTCATCCCAGCATTTTTCCATTCATCCTTACGCATACCTGTTCATCCTAGCATTTTCCTATTAATCCTTACCCATACCCGTTCATCCCAGCATTTTCCTATTCATCCTTACGCATACCTGTTCATCCTAGTATTTTCCCATTCATTCTTACGCATACCTGTTCATCCTAGCATTTTCCTATTCATCCTTACACATACCTCATCCCAGCATTTTCCAATTCATCTTTACATATCCCCGTTCATTCTAGCCTTTTTTGCATTGATCCTAACGAATACCTGTTCATCCTAGCATTTTCCCATTCATCCTTACATGTCCCCGTTCATCCTTGTATTTTCCTATTAATCCTTACACATCCCCGTCCATCCTAGCCTTTTCCTATTAATCCTTACGCATACCCGTTCATCCTAGCATTTTCCCATTCATCCTTACATGTCCCCGTTCATCCTAGCATTTTCCTATTAATCCTTACATGTCCCCGTTCATCCTAGCCTTTTCCTATTAATACTTAAGAGCCGATGTCTGTAAAAACCAAGCAACTCAGACAAAAAGTGGCCAAACTCAAAAAATCAGATTTACTCAAACTTTGTGTGGTGGTAGGGCCTTGACCCAAACTTACAAAAATGGGTAAGTTTTGGTTCGCTGGTTGATGGTTGCCATACAAAAACACGCCATTTTTAAACGCCTGCTACAGCTCACCACAAAAACATTTCGAGCAAAACTTCATATCATTTTCTTAGTTACAATATGGATAATAGAATATGTTAGAAGCAATGAGATATGTGTTACTTTCTGTCAGATACAGAAGGTAAAAGATGGTCCATTTTGGGCAAGACTTAACCAACCAGCGAACCAAAACTTACCCATTTTTGTAAGTTTGGGTCAAGGCCCTACCACCACACAAAGTTTGAGAAAATCTGATTTTTGAGTTTGGCCACTTTTTTTCTGAGTTGCTTGGTTTTTACAGACATCGGCTCTTAAGTATTAATAGGAAAAGGCTAGGATGAACGGGGACATGTAAGGATTAATAGGAAAATGCTAGGATGAACGGGGACATGTAAGGATGAATAGGAAAAGGCTAGGATGAACGGGGATATGTAACGATTAATAGGAAAATACAAGGATGAACGGGGACATGTAAGGATGAATGGGAAAATGCTAGGATGAACAGGTATTCGTTAGGATCAATGCAAAAAAGGCTAGAATGAACGGGGATATGTAAAGATGAATTGGAAAATGCTGGGATGAACAGGTATGCGTAAGGATGAATAGGAAATTTCTAGGATGAACGGGTATGCGTAAGGATGAATAGGAAAATGCTGGGATGAACGGGTATGGGTAAGGATTAATAGGAAAATGCTAGGATGAACAGGTATGCGTAAGCATGAATGGGAAAATGCTGGGATGAACAGGTATGCGTAAGGATGAATAGGAAAATGCTAGGATGAACAGGTATGGGTAAGGATGAATGGGAAAATGCTAGAAAGAACAGGTATGCGTAAGGATGAATAGGAAAATGCTGGGATGAACGGGTATGGGTAAGGATTAATAGGAAAATGCTGGGATGAACGGGTATGGGTAAGGATTAATAGAAAAAGGGTGGGATGAACGGGTATGGGTAAGGATTAATAGGAAAATGCTAGGATGAACAGGTATGCGTAAGGATGAATAGGAAAATGCTAGGATGAACAGGTATGCGTAAGGATGAATGGGAAAATGCTGGGATGAACGGGTATGCGTAAGGATGAATAGAAAATGGTGGGATGAACGGGTATGGGTAAGGATGAATAGGAAAATGCTGGGATGAACAGGTATGCGTAAGGATGAATGGGAAAAGGCTAGGATGAACAGGTATGCGTAAGGAGGTTCATCAGAGGTTGTGCAGTTGATGGACCACATGTGATGTCTGTACCTATGGTCCTATGGTGCTTTAGTATTACCATTGATAATGACATGCGTCATGCATTTGTAATGTACTCATTTGCATGCTTGTGACTTCTTACATGCGGCCTCTACCCATATCTTCCACACTGTCTCGACAACCACGTGCGCAAATTTTTTAAACATGGCTGACGAAGAGGACAGGATTGGTAAGCTCAAAGGTAAACAGACTAAAAGGGCTCCGAGATACTTTGACGACAGTAGCGCTGAAGCGTCTACCAAGGACAAACACGAGAATGAGAAGACTTCGGAGAGGAAGTCTGAAGGTAAGAAGAAGAAATCTGGGAAGAAAAGGGCGCCTGCCCCGGACAGTGACCATGTGGACCGAAAACGTGGGAAGGAGGCGTGGGACTCGGACGAGGAGAAGGACCCGTTTCCGGGCGAGGCACCTGTTAAAGAAGAGACACTAGCACGTTACACTAGAGGAGAAGAGAACAAAATTAAGGTCAGTGTTTTTGCAGTGCTGTAGGCGTTTTGGAGTTATATTAACCGATTGATTGATTGATTTTTTCAATGTGTTACATACACCAGAGAAAAGTAACAAACTTGTTTAGGGACGTTTCATTTTAATAACTGTAAAGTGGCATACACATGTAGAAGCAATGGGTGAATGGAGTAGGTTTACATTTGTCTTATCCCATTCAGATACGTGCAAAAACTGCTGGACCAAAGCTGGAACGGAAAGCAATGGAGAAGAAGTTCCACCTGGCAGCTAAACAGGCAGCCAGAGCAGAGCTGCTGCTGGGAGAAGATCATGGTTACCTGGAACCATCAGATGATGAAGACACAAGTCAGCTGTCACAGACCGACATAGCAGATGCTGTGGATATCAGTGCAGCACAGAAGCACTTTGACCTGAAGCTGGACCAGTTTGGTCCCTACAGGATGAACTACACACGGAATGGGAGGTTCCTGGTCATGGCAGGCAAAAGAGGTCATGTGGCAGCCTTGGACTGGATGAGTAAGAAACTTCTGTGTGAGATCAACGTGATGGAGGGGGTGCATGATGTGAAGTGGCTGCACGTGGAGACCATGTTTGCTGTGGCCCAGCAGAGGTGGACATACATCTACGACCATCAGGGAGTTGAACTGCACTGTCTGAAGAAATTCAACAATGTTCTTAAGATGGAATTTCTCCCCTACCACTTCCTCCTTGCAACAGCTAGCTCCACTGGTTTCCTGCAGTACTTGGACGTGTCCCTGGGGAAAGAATTGGTTGCCATCAATGCGAAGCAGGGCTGCTTGAATGTCATGACCCAAAATCCACAGAATGCTGTTGTTCACCTTGGTCATGCCAATGGCACTGTTACGCTATGGAGTCCCAACGTCAAGGAACCACTCGCCAAACTGTTGAGTCATGTCACTGCAGTACGTTCCATTGCCATAGACAAGACAGGGACATATATGGCCACATCTGGGCAGGACCGGTACATGAAAGTCTTTGACATCCGTGCCTTGAAACCGCTGCAGGTGTATCGCATGTCTGCTGGGGCTGGACACCTGGCCTTCAGCCAGACAGGGCTGGTCGCAGCTGCACTTGGAAACGTGGTGGAGGTCTACAAGGACTGCTGCAGCTCTGTAGCAGAGAAACCTTACCTCACCCATCGCCTGCGGAACAATATAAGTGGTCTGCAGTTCTGTCCATACGAGGATGTGCTGGGTGTCGGCCACCAAGACGGATTCACCAGTCTTCTCATCCCTGGCGCAGGTGAGGCAAACTTTGATGCCTTTGAGAACAACCCGTACCAAACGAAGAAACAACGCAGAGACTACGAAGTGAAGATGTTACTGGAGAAGATCCAGCCAGAGATGATCGGACTTGATCCAGGTGGAGTAGGACAGGTCAGTCAGCTCACAGCTCAGGAAGTGGAGAAAAGGGACCAGGAAGCCATTCAGAAGAAATTCGAGCCTGCCAAGAAGAAGAAGGGCCGCAGCAAGTCCCTAAAGACAGTACAGAGAACAAAGGGTGTAGAGGAGGAGTGGAGAAGGATGAAAGTGAGACAGAAGATGAAGGAGCAAGAAGAGCAACGAAAGAAAAAACAGAAAGATCAACAAAAGAAGGAAAAGTGGGGCTCAGCATTGGATCGTTTTCAAAGAAAAGACAACTAAGAAACTGATCACTGATGGAAAGTTAGAATGGTTGGAATTTGTTGTTGTTGAAAGTTGGGTTAGGAATTAGGAATGCACCAACATAACAGCACATACATTTAGCAAAATTTGTAGTGTTGTCTGTTAACAATAAACTTAGAACAGATGCCAAAAACTGCCTTGTACTAAGTTGTACCTATTCAGAAGAGGACAGTAGCAAAGTAAACCTGTTTTTTTACCTTAAAAATAAATAATTATTTACTAAATAAATAGATGTTTATGTACTTCTACAGCTACCATTATGATCTTAGTTTATTGGTCTAAATTTATTTTGATATTGAAATCAATGTGTATAGAATTGTGCCTTGATATAGAAACTTAATTAGCAGTGGACATAATGTAGATTATGTTGGAAGTCATCATGTACATGTAATTTCATATTACTGTGGGCAATAAAATACATTGTAAATCAGTACCATGTTGTTAGGACAGCAAGTGCATAAGCATGACTTTATTCCACAGCTACTTTTCCCATGTAATTTCTGCCTGTAGCTATTTATATTTAGACAACTACTAGAAGTTCATTTCAATGACATTGCTGTTCAAGGGACAAGTTGAAATGTAGCTCCAAAAGAATTCATAAGAAGACTGGAAGAATCAGATGTTCCAGACAGGATCTTTAAGTTAGAACCCTCCTAGCAAGGCTCCTTTTAATCATGTTTCTGAGTTATCTTGAGTTAGTGATATCTTGATTAATGTTATTCTTAGTTAAAACAAATACATGTACAAATACATTGTACTCAAATGGTATTGATGCATCAAGTTATTGCACATAATGAAGACTTGTCAAAATTTCTACACACGTATCTCTTGTTTTCATTATTCCTATCCACTGATAGAATACTTTTTCATTTGCAAGTTACCTTCATCGCTACTGCACTGTTTCTGAAGTAGGGCTTAATGCTAACACTTAATATATGCTAAAAAAAGATGCTGTGATCTGAGATGATAGATTATGTACACAAACACAGGTCATACGCTGTTTAGTACTTGGGTATGTTAGTGATAAGACTATACATGTATATACATGAATAACAATACTGGAATGATGTAGGCCAATAGGAACTCACAATGCATTCATGCAATTTTAAAAATATTTCTGGTGCACGTGATAACTGCATTTAAATATACAAAAATGTACATACAGAGCTTGCAAGTCCACTTAATATACAATACTCTCGAGGACTTGTTCTACTCTTTGGCCAAGCCATACTGGTAAAACTTGAATGATATATATACATATACATAGCAATCCATATGGATTATGAGTCCTGTACAGTCATGTGAGCCATGTCTTGGCAGGCCTGGGACTCTCCCATGTGGTCAGCCAGTGCAGTTAGGATGTCCAGGAGTAAGTCACGGTTCAGAGACCGAACCTTAGGAAGTCGGGCCACCTGGAAAGAGAAATAGTGCTATGTAACGGAGGCCGCGATATACAAGAACAAAATGCTTGGTTACTCATATGCACATCAAGGTGTTACTTACATAGAAGTCGTTCAGAGGCTTGTGTTACTTAAGTAATAAGCTGAAACAGGCTGTGAACATCTAGTGCAGTATCTAACTTGCTTGTGAACAACTTAACCAAATTGATATACCTTTGGGAAATGTTCCACGATTATTCTCAGTGCATGTCGTTTCATGTCGGACGCTCCCACGCGGTCAGCTGCCTCCAATATCTGACATATCAAACATAACAGAACATCAGCACTTAGTCCATAAACCTGGGACTATTGGTTCTACGTCTAGCTATAGTATTCCCTTCAATACATGTACTATAATCAAAGGGACCAACAGCTGACAGTCTTTTTAAAGTGTGAAAAACGGTACCACACAAAATCTGTACCCTGCAAACAAAAACAAATAGCCCTCCTAGGAAAGACTGACAGTTGCAGTCCATCCTAGACAAACTGCAGGTAATGAAAACATCCATCTCACCTGGACCACATTCTTGACAGAGACATTCATCTCCAGATTGTGCTTACAATAGGCCTGTAGTCTGTTATTGGAGAAGCCATAAAAGTATGGTGCTGAGAACAGGTAGCTGGGCAAATAGTTAAGGGCATTCAGAGATGTACATGATTTCTAGTTAAAACATTTCCATCTTTACAGCACTGAAGGAATACATTTTGGTCTACACACAGCATCATATTTCATTTTGATCCACTTACAAACATAAATCTTAGTGTTTTTGCATAAGAGCACAGTTCACTATTAAATTTGATAGCTATAATTCTTTCAATAACTTAATTCTGAGCATCTTAAGGATACAGAGAATCTTCAGGAGGCATGGTGATGTCCCCATAGTAGATGTAGCGTAGCAGTGACTCGAAAGCTTGGGTTGAGGGAATCATTTCTCCTATGGAGATCTGTACAAGATAAAGAATCAAATGTTTTTACCATATACATTGTGTATCTAACACAACAGTACTAGTATCTGACATTGTGTATTTACTACAACTTGAATGTCAGGGTAACATGTCGTCCATGTTGGCTGGATTTATGGGAAGTAAATCCAACCAACACAGATGACCTATTACCTGGCATTCAGTATATGTACTTAGGACACTACAGTATTGGCAACTTATTGAATTTGGTTCTATAAGCTGTCATATTTATGTAAATGTCATCTTATCTAAAAGGGCATATGTTAGCTTGATATTAACATTCTATGAATCATTCAAGCTTGCCTGTCAATCCTAAGATTAGCAAAATGCCTTTCAACTCCCTGAGGTAAAGAATATGTATTAACCATTTTGAAGTATACATGACTGTCTTGTACTTTATTAATGGGTTTACTTACGGTGACCTCTCTGTCTTCTGGCATGAAGGAGCGGAACATGGCCTCAAAGTAACTGTACGAAGTATAAATGTCATGTCACGGTACATGTATATATAACATAAGTCAAATATAGCATGGATTGGTAGAGCACACTGTATATATCTTTTCACAAGTCGGGTCCAACAAACTATATCTGAGGTCTAGTTTATTATTATATTGACTTAGTATCCCACCTGCTTCTTGCTGCCAGAATAGACTTGTGAGCTGGGAATGGGACACCATCTAACAGCAGGGTGATGTCACAAAACTCCTGACCGATCCCGCTCTTCAGAAACCATTCTATGTCCTGTTCTAGGGTGTTGGCTGCGGGACAAAATGTATGCATTACAGGAAGTCACATTTCAGTCAGGAAAATGTCAATAACAAAGAACATTACATGGTTACCATTATAAAATAGAGAAAGATTTGAACCATTATAGAAGATATAAAGTATGCCTACCCATGCCTCCAGTGTTGGATTCTGGCAGTGGTTGGATGGGGTTTGGGGACTGTTTTCGTCTGATGATCTCCACCATGAGGGGCTGGGGCACGGTCTCAAACTCTGTACTCATCACAATCTGGTTGTAGTGACTCTCTCGTACAATGAAGTTTAGGCACAGTTCCTAGATGACAAAGGCAAAAACATAAATGTCTTTTTCCCAGAGCTGATCAGTTGGCAAATCAAATCAGTAGATGACAGTATAACATCACTTGATACAATACACATTTGGGCCACACCAATTTAATTTGTTGGTTCTCGGATTTTTTCAGAAAAAATATGAAGCGACAGGGCGAAAAAAAATAAAAATAAAAACAGGTCTAGGCATCCTATTATAGCCCCAAATGCTACAATATGAGCCATGAAGTCAACAAAAAAGGCTGGGTTAAAATTTAAAGTATAAATTTTGAACTTTTAATCAAACCACTGCATTGATAGATGGAAAAAACTGTAACAACTAGGAAGAAAAGGACTTTCCTCAACTGTTGTGTGAAAATATGAGCATTTTTGAGTTGATTCAGAACCAGAATCTTTTTTTTTTTTGCAAATCAGAAAAAAATGAAGAGGCGAATCCGAGAACCAACAAATTAAATTGGTGTGGCCTTGTCAACTAAAAGTTCCAAGACGATTATTACTGAATAGACTGAGGAACAATACAATTGAACTTCAAATACATATGATGTAGACAATCATCACACAAAAACATCACCAATGTTTTATACTAAGAGAAAACAATCTAATCCTGTATCTCCTTCAGCTCTGTCAGTCTGTCTAAGACATGGATACCTTGAGTAGATCCAGGTGCAGCTCAGCAGCATGCTGTAAAGCCACCAGCACGTTGTTCAGCCTGATGGAGGCCTCCAGGTACTGTCGACACATCTGTTCCAGCCGACCCAGGCGGTACTGATGGAGAAGTACAACACACTCAGACAGTGTTCTTACTACTGGCTTACCAGAGCTGCTGCTCTAACAATGGCAGCATAACTTTGATGATTATACTTCTGTGTCACTAGCTGGAATATACATCTTACAGACAGATGTTTCTACATCCAATATTTGTATGTTTTGGAAAAGTTTTGGACCAGGTAAGAACACTGATGAAAGCTGATTTAAGATCACAGGGAGAACAGGAGAATGGATGAAATCTTATCCATGCAACATAAGTCCAAACACTTTGTCAAGGATGCTGAAGTTATCATGAGCAGTGGGTTATACACAGGTCTCAACCAGATAGGGAGAGATCTACATTCTGTAGTATGTCAATGAAAGAAAACTAATGGCAAGAACTGACAAGATTTTTGGCGAGAAACATACTGTTGCTTGTGCTGTAACCTTGTACATGTACTTTACTGGTATGTCAAAACATCACTGAAACAGACAAAACCTGCAATCTTCCTTCATTAGATGTGCAGTAGTATGAGTTACTGAGATTTAGTAGCCATAGTCATGACTTGACATTCACATATAACTATTATGACAGGATCAGGTGGAAGTTTCATTTCATTGAGCATTGATAACTGACTGAAATGCATCTACAAGGAAGCAAAGTTGATAGCTGGGCTCATGACAAGACAATTCAAACATGCAACAGTTCAATACCTGGATGGCCAGGCCATACACATCCATAATTAGCAGCACACCATCAATACTGTAGCCATCTTGCCCTGTAATATCAAGCCAGAAACATCATTCACAGTGTCATTCTCCAGCAAGACAGATCAAAGTAGCAACAGCACTCATGCATTAAGATTCCTGAGCCAAGGACATTATACAGAAGTTCTGTATAATGTCCTTGCCTGAACTGAGACTTCACAGACATTGGCAACACAGTTTGTATCCTACTGTGTCACCTTCAGATTGGATAATATTAACAATGTAAGTATAAGGTGCAACGATCCTTGTGAGCCTTGACACAAAGAGTTCACCTCTTCCACCAGGCTTGATGCGGTCAGTGTAGATGAACTGCAGGACCATTTGGAAGGCTCTGGGCTGAGCATTCCTTAATGGTACTTCCAGCATGCTGTCACAGAACCACTGTCCCCCACGCTGACTCGTCGCTGTGCCATCGTCACCTTCCTCCTGTAGGCGCTGCAGAGAGGGGGGGAATATACACAGGCACTCAGACCATGCTTGGTTGTATCAAGAAATCTTTAAAACAAAACTGTTTTGATGACCATCGTCTTACTTAGTAAGGAATGAGATGAAAAAAAGATAAAAATTTCTACCTTTTGTAGCACCCTGTCCCTGGCCTCCACAATTTTTGTGTTGAGTTGCTCTGACCTAGCAGCAACAAGTGCTATGTGTGCAGGAATGTGTTCTTCTACCTGTGCATACAGAAGAGGTACACTTGTAACATAACATTAAAATATGAAAACCCTGCAAAGAATATTGGATAATCGCATTAAAAATAATTTCACATCAAATCTGTTAGAACGATAGACACCTACCTCACCAACAATGAAGTCAACATCACAGAACTGCTGGCTCTCCAGGAGACGACTGAAGTCTTCATGCAAGGTACATTTTGGGTATGTTGAGAACTGGAACCAATTACAGTAGGGTATTACATGGCTGATAACATTATTCAATA